GGGGTGAGGTGGGGGGCAGCCTTAAACCCCCATGCCAGAATTCAAAGTATTAGGGTAGTGTGTTTATGCCAATAAGGAAATGCATGGAGAGAGAGGGAGAGGCCTGTGTGTTTCTGCATGCAGAAATGTCCACATTTCATTTTCCTTCCTGTTCTCTTTACACCTCAGCTTAGAGTATTTTTCAGTATATAGTAACTTTCAGATATGGAGCGTCATCCTCTGTGAGACTCTGAGGCATGAAAGAAGCTGCTATTCATGTATTTAAGGATTTGAATGTTGTATTTTAGATTACAGAGTCTACTATTCTCATACCAATTTCTCACATACAGTATCCTTATACTTTCAACTATCAGTAAGAATGATAACACTTTATTATACATATGTGTAAATTATACATAGTTTCCTGATAAATCTTTAGGAAGGCACTCCACCTTGAAATAAAACGGAGAGGCCAGTTTTCAATTAGTGCACTTAAATAATCCATCTCATACAGTAATGTGCAAAACTCTTTAGCCACTCATCATTTCTTTATATTTTACCTCCCAGGAGGCTGACTTTGTTGCCATTTATTTATTTATTTATTTATTTATTTTTATTTTAAAAAAGAGGTCCTGAGGAATAATTTTTAAGTTCTTCAGAGTTTTTCTTTGTTTTGTTTTTTATACTTCTTTTCAGTCCCATTCTTGTACCTGACTATTTTCAGAGGAATGTTTTTGTTTAAGTCACTTAACGCTGACCTCTGAATCATCAAGCATTTAAAAAAAAAAAAAAGTCTTGTGTCGACACATAACAGACAACTTCCAAAAGAACCAATTTTAAATTGTATCTTTTGGCGTTTTGTTACTAGCAGCCTGTCAAAGAAACATATAATTTGTTCATGTTTCTTTTGATAAATAATAAAATAAAATTTGCCAAATATAAGAGTTTGAGGGGAATAAAATTGTATTTTTGCACTAACAAGGTGATTCCCAAAAAGCTATTAGCTGAAAATGTAGCAAGCTCAGCCTGTGTGTCCTTAAAAGGAGGGACAAGTAAACAAAAGAAAGTGCCGGGTCTTAAAAAGAAAAAAAATAATAAAGTTTATCTGCTGAAGATATTATTATCTAAAAGTCATTAGGAACATCAAGAAACTGGGGAAGAAATCCAGCAAAGATCTAACTCAGAACCTGAGAGATGTATCTGGTCCTTTTGCTCCATCTCATCAGAAAAGGTGTCAGTGGAAGGATGAAGGAAGGAAGTAGCCATTCTTAAAGAACCAAAACGGGAAGAAAAGGCTGGGCTATGTCACATTATACATGAAAATCAGTGGAAGCCAGTCCCATATGGAAAAGATAGATAGACAGATGGCTAGCTAGCCATCTGTCTATCTATCTGTCTATCTGTCTATCGAAACTTGTATGTTTTGGATACTTACTAAAACAATGTATGAAAGTAATGAGAAAGTGGCCACTTTCATGAGTAATCACATAAGTTTTTACTATTTCTTTTCCATATGGGGTCTGATGAAGCGATAAATCTGCATTTGAAACTTTTGGTTCAGATCATCTCAATATGTATGGAGAAGGTCAGGAGAGGGGTATAACAGTGGGCGGGGTAAGCCATCTGCAAAACATGGTGGAGGTTAGGGCTACATTTCAGCTAGTGGTGTGATCTTGTCAAAAATGATGGAATTATGAATACTGAAAAAATACTGTCAAGTTTGATCCTTTTAGTACCATAGGGCAAGTATCTGATTGGCAACAGCTTCATTTTTCAGCATGACAATGCTCCCAAAGACACTGTGAATGCAGTAAAAGCATACACACACACACACACACACACACACACACTAGAGAACTTTATCACTTATGCACTCGCCTCCCAAGGGCCGGGATGTCAACATTATTGAAGCAATGTGGGATCAATTTGACAGAGAATGGAACAAAAGGCAGCTAACATCAAAAAAGAGCTTTAAATGTCCTTCAAGAAGCCTAGAGAACTATTCCTGAAGCCTACTTAAAGAAATTATAGAAAGCTGCCTAAGAGAGATCAGGCTGTATTGAAGAATGGTGGTCATACCAAACGTTGACTTTCAAGCTTGTTAGAATTGTACAAACGTTACCATATATACAGCATTTTTCTTTATGTTTGCATGCTTCAATAAATTGCAGCAGCCATTTTCCCAGAAAAATATAAAGACATGAGAGGTGACTTGAGATTTTTACACATATTTCTGTCTCTCCACACGTCTACATGGAGACACAAATATATGAATAGTTGAGTGGCACATGCAGTCTGCTGAAGATTTCTCAAATTTAAAGACTAGAAAATATCAAATAAAATGTATTAGAAGAACATCTAGAGTTGAGTGTACATAAAAGACAAACTTGTGCCGCTGTGACGTCAGCACTGGTTGAAGTCTCATCTTAAAGTCTGAGTATTTTGGTTCTGATTGTGCAGTAACTTTTAGCTTCTCAAACACACATCACAGCAACTTGTCAGTCACAAAGCAGGTCTGCCTTTAAGTGTGGCCTGTTTTATCACTCTTTCTGACAATATTTGGACTTCACTATATGTTCCATAAGACTTGGAAACAAGCAATTGGAACCATATTCTCATTGAAAAAGTGTTTATGGAGGTCATAAGTCAAGGAAACCCAGCCACCGTTTTCCCATAGATTTGTAGACATCAAGGCTTCTTTGTGTTAATGGAGGACTCGACCAGTGTCCGTTTTGATTTAGTTTTAGTCTTTTGACTGAACTGTTAAATTCTTTGAGTCATAATTTAGGCTTTTAAATTCTTTTAGTTTTGGTTGACTAAATATCATTAGATGTAGTCTACAATAATCTTAAGTTGAATCAGTTTACAAAACGTAAAAGTTTGTTGTGAATTGTATAACATTTTTCTGAACACTATGCAACAGTTGGCAGTCTCTTGAGGAGAGAAGTTTCCCAACAGATGAAGTAGAAACCTGATGGGGGGGGGGAATAAAACTATGACCCTATGCAGTAACCCCAACGTGACCCCCTGAATGAGGAAATATAATTAAGCCCTTCTAGCACTGCATAATTTGAAATGGTATCACTTGCAAAGTGGCCTTTCTTTATTTTGCTCTGCTTTTTTTTGTGTATTTTGTTTGGATGTTTTACAGTTTTGCTCCTGGGTGAGATTGAAACTGGACCTTGTTTTAACTAGGTCCCAAGACTAAACGGAGGCTTCTAATACCCATGTCCTTGCACTATCTCAGCGTGCCTGGAGAACATTGTCTTAGATGAATATTTACAGCTTGTACACAGTTACATTGTTCTGGTCAGAGCAGGCACAGTCTAATACGCACTAAATACAATATAAATGTTTAATGTATATATGATCCACTGGATATTATTTCACTGTAGACACACATTAATGCCTCTTTGTTCTTCTACAGGGCCCATAAAGGGGAAGCTGTCTTATTTTTATTTATTTAATTATTTAATGTCTTACTGTTTTGAATCAATAAAACCAGAAAAAAATCTAAATTCATATCATGTTTGAGCGATCATCTCTGCTCTGTTCTGCTTCTCAGCTTGCAGGAAAATATGACCCACATAAGGAAGAGGAGCTGAGACTGTGGATTGAAGATGTGACTGGCAAAAGGACTGGGGACAGCTTCATGGATAGCCTGAAAGATGGAGTACTATTGTGCGAGTGAGTGGATGGACGCCACCTTGTTTTTGTTTTTTTAAAGCAGGAACTTTCTTCAAATCTCTCTCTCGCTCTGTCTTTTTGTAGGCTCATAAATGCTCTCCAGCCGGGCTCTGTGAAAAAGATCAACCACTCCAGTCAAAACTGGCACCAGGTAATGCTCCAGCTCTCAAAACTCAGGCCTGTTTTCCACACCGAGTGGAACTCGTCTCCCGCACTGGCACTGACAACAAAGACTTTTATTTACCTTCCATAAAGTAGCTTCCATATCAAATGAGGCTCATCTTAGCACAGCTTTTATTAGCCTAGTATTGGACCAGGAAAAAGCAAACAGAGCTCTTAAGCGTTGATTAAAACGCCTTTCAGAAAGTTCTCGCTGTGATATTGACACTGCCGCACATGCACACAGACCGTCACACAGTCGCACTCTCCAAGGGCATGGGCGCAAATCGAGAGTCAATATTTAGCAAAAGTTATTGAGCTTGAATCTTAATACTTGGCCCTGGTGCCAAGGTAAGCTGACTGCCCACGAGCTGTAGCCTCAGTTCCGACATGAGATCACAAAAAAAGGCGAATAAGATCATTTCTGAAACTGCAGAGCTTCTTGTGTTACAAGATGGCAACCGTCACAGATTTTTTCTGTTGCTATGCAAGGTTTTATTCTAGGAAGAAAAACACAGGATCTACTCAGACAGTTTGTAAAAGGCATGCATTGCTTATGAAATTCTGGGCCGGTAACATAAGAGTTTAAAATAATAATAATTTGGTTGATATGCTGATAGATATTTTCATTGTTGATTTTGTTTGTTTGTATTGTTTGTATCCCATCATTTGTACCAGGGGAAACAAAGAAATCTAGTTTTTAAAAAAATTAAAGGACCTTTCAGATCTTTTATTACATTATTTTTGGACATTCTGAATTTTGCTGAATGTCACTATTTGCCGATAGCAAATGGGCTGACAGCTGTCAGCAGGGCCAGACTGGCCAGTACCATTGTTCTGCCAATATATCCAGGCATGTATAAATGCCCAAAAGATCTTATTACAGCCTGTATTCTTGCTCTTTCTCTCAGCTGGAAAACATAGGGAATTTCGTCCGTGCCATCACGGAGTACGGCCTGAAGCCACACGACATCTTTGAGGCCAACGATCTGTTTGAGAATGTCAACCACACTCAGGTCCAGTGCACACTCATCGCTCTGGCTGGAATGGTGAGGGCGGCGGTGCACACACATTCACATACGTCGGCATCTCGCTGAAATCACCACTGGCTGCACATTATTATTTGATCTTGATACTTTTTTTTTTTTCGCTTAGATTTCCATGGCAACAGCATGGATCTAATAAAAGCAATGTGGGTATGAAAAGTGCATTCTTATTACCACCATTTTTCCTTTCTGTCACCACCACTTCTGTCTCTCAGGCCAAGTCCAAAGGTTTCCACTCGAAGTACGATATAGGCGTGAAGTACGCAGAGAAACAGCAGCGGCGCTTCGCTCCTGAGAAGCTCAGGGAGGGACGTAACATCATAGGCCTGCAGGTCAGAGTGGCAAAAGGGCTAAACGTGTAATGTACTGTGTTATGGCCAAGCTGTCATGGTGCAATGTTGTTCTGCTGGCCAAGCCTGTTCTCAGTGTGTTGTTATTGTGCCCCCTGCTGGATTCTTGCTGAATGAATATTCCCCAAACAGTCTTCTCAACTTTTTAACAACAAACAAGGAACAGGAATGGACCGGTCAATAACCACACCTCATATGTGATCCTAAAGTGTGATGTTTTTGGAGACACTCCAAAGAATAACCGTGGCAACTACATTGCATGTCATGTAAATCCTGTCGTTTTCCTCTGTATTTAGATGGGCACTAACCAGTTTGCCAGTCAAAAGGGCATGACCTCTTACGGGACACGACGCCATTTGTATGATGCCAAAATAGGCATGGACACCCCTGACCAATCTACTATCAGCCTACAGATGGGCACCAACAAGGGAGCCAGCCAGGTGGGAAGAGATGTATAATTTTAGACTAAAGTAACACTTGTTCACTACACAGTTTCTTGGCGATATAGCTCTAGCATGGTTAGTATGTATTATCGTTTTTAAAATGTATCTTGAAATGAACAAAATCCCTTTTATTGTTGCATCAAAGAGATAAAATGTTATTACACAAAATATATACACTTATTAAAAAGACACATTAGAAACATGTTGGGTGAAACTGCAACTTGAGTTGATCTGACAGGGTTTAGTCTAACCAATAGTTGCTGCACTCCTGCAAGCCACTTTGCAACCCACCTCCATCCTCAGCTCCTACATTTCATACTGTGTCCGATCTAAGTGATTGCACATCTGTTGCCAGTACTGCCCTCCCTCATTTGCCTTTTTGTGCATATACATGGAACTCCAAACAGTCATATCACAGATTTGATGACTGTTCTTTCTTTGACTAATGTGGTTCTGACTGGACTATCTTATTATAAGGACACTTAGTGAATCACATCCTCGTGCTTGTTGACTGTTTTTTTTGTTTTTTTTTTAATAGCATTTGGAGGACTAAGACACGTCAGGCTGAGATATAGAGAAATTGATTGTTCAGATCACTTCATTAGTTTTGGTGGATTCTTTGGATTTGTTAACACATCTGTCATGAATGCAACGGTATAGTGTATTTACACCGCTGCGCCCTCCATCTTGCTTTTCTCTGCTACAGTCCGGCATGACGGCTCCAGGAACCAGGAGGCATATTTTTGACAAGAACCTGAAGCTGGAGGACTGTGACACCACCACAATCTCTCTGCAGATGGGCACCAACAAAGGGGCCTCTCAACAGGGCATGACCACTTATGGCCTGCCCCGCCAAGTCTACGACAACAAGTACTGCATCAACCCCACTGAGGCCAACTGCAACAACGGGAGCGAGGTGGAGTTTGATGGCTACAACCAGTACTCTGACTAAGGGGAAAAACCATGGACAGCAGCATCCTCCATCCCACCTCCCAACCCCAGCCCCCCCCCCCCCTTTTTTTTTTTTTTCGCTTTTACTTTAGACAGCCAGCCGCGACTGTCCTTGCGACGATCAGACCTTTCAGATCGATTGACGTCATTGTCTGCTTCATTTCCCGTCTTTTATAAACAAGTTTTTGACTCTTCAGCTTATTGTTTGGCTTTCCGTGAGTAAAAGAGAAGAAATGTGTTTACACTGACCTTCCGTCACAAAAAAAATGTGGTGGCCAAGTTCAGTCACTCTAGTTAATGATGTTATTGTTACAGCTAAAAATAACCACGCTCTGAAGTGGAGACTCTTTGATCTTTGATCTTTTGCAATTTATAGTTTTTTGGGTTTTTTTTGTTTTTTTCCCTAAAGCTTTTTATACTTGCATCGTAATTTAGAATTTTTTTTTTTTTTTTTTACCCCCGTGTAACCAGTCCAGTTTGAACATAATGAAGCAAAATATGCAAAGTTCCTGGAGGGCAAACAAGTTGGTGCTATTGAACTTCGACCCAGTTGGAACACGTCCACATTAAGAGCTCTGCAGGCTCCAGGATACCACTCCTTTGGATGACACACAAGCTCTGGGTCCACAGACTGATCGCGATGTGCAGCTTTTGTGCGGACATTGCTTTTTTTTTTTTTTCCACCGCGAGCACCTGTGCTAACCAATAGTCATGTTAAGTCTGCTAAATTACCCATTGTGCCATTTTTGCAGGGCTCATTTACATGGCTTGTTGTGGAGCATTTCAGACTTTGTTTACTGAGAAAGTCTTTCTTTTTTTTTAAAAAAGGTTCTGAGAGACACGGTGCACTGGTTTTTATAAAGGAGTACGTGCAGCTGTGGTGGTATCCAGATTGAAGTTTGGTACGTGGTCACCAGTTGTTTTTGCACTGCAAAAAATAGTCCTGTAATATTTCGACTTTTGGGAACTTTAGCTTTACTGTTGCACTTCTACCTGGCCACACGCCACCAGTGTTGGAATGATGCCCGAACAATTAGTTACACATTCAAGCACCTAAACTTAAATATTTTCCATTTGATGACACTCCTTTTTACTTCATATATTTATTAGCTATACTTAAAGAATAAAACACAGATACAGTTTACCACACACAGGTGGATATTTTTCATAAGCAGGACCTATAATGAAGTATTATTTATTTTTTGTCCACCACTGGCTGTGAAAAGCAACAGCAAAGCAGACCCATGCGCTTGCAGATATATCCTTATGTGAGTCATGACAAATATGCAGAATTTTTAAAGCTTCTGCAACATACTGTCTAACCCACCGAATGTCTTGAATGTAACGTTATTTGTAAAGCTAGAGGTCCCACTGTCTATCACAGGGTTCATGATATGTGCACAGGGTGTCTGCTTGTATAAGCAAGTTAAATTTCTTGCTTACATTTTAAACGTAAATTTTTTTTTTTTTTAATCCCAGTTTAAATAAAATCATACATGTGATGGAAAAGTGAGAATATGCTCTCTAGATAACCTCACTGACGTCAGTTTGGACAGAACTGTTGGCTAGGCCTGCTACCCTACTATTTTTATGTCAAAACGATTGCTGCAAACTAGGACTGCTGTCCAAAATGAAACAGTCTATACACACACACACACACACACACAGCACGTATAAGCACCAAGACTGTTATTTTAAATAAATAAATAGTTTAGCAGCTGAATAACACAGCTATCACCTCTTCATCACACGAAGAACCTACCCATCAAAGATGGGCGTGCCTTTAATAAGTTAAGTTAGCTATTGTATGTACTCTTCCCATTAACCATTAATGCACCCAAAAACAGCATGAAAGAGGAAGTGACCTTCAGGTTCAGTCAAATTGTTCGATCTGAGGGGGCAAATCTGGCAGCATTACGTGCTGGAGATTGTTGGGGCGAAATAACCCGAGAACATTTAAATCCCGTTTGAGCTCAATCTCAAACTGTTCGCTACTTTCAGCTGTCTGGCTTTCAGACTGGCTTTGGATTACAGAAAGTGGTACATGCTTTTTCTCCTCTCAGCTCCCCATCATTCAAAAGCTTCCATGATTTATAAGTTGTAGAGGTGTGCCATCTAGTGTTGTACAAGCTTTACAATCTAGCTAAGAATGTAGTGTTTTTTGTTTTATTTTTTTAAATGGCATATAAATTTTTCATCATCACTAACGCGCTGATACTGGCACTGACAAGTACAGATTCATTAACATTTCACCCTGACATGCTGGCTCCTGGTTTCTTTATCAATATGCTTTTCACTAAACATGAAACATTCATAAACCTTTGTGCAATAAAAACACACAAAGCATTTTCGTGACTTTATTTTCTTACTACTGTCAGCAACTTGAAGTACACAAATACATCAAAGTAGTGTACGAGAGATACATAAAGTGATTTTGTTTTTGTCTGTTTGTTTGTTTGTTTGTTTTTTTTTTAAGGAAAATCTAGCAGTAAAAATATAAATTGGTCCAAAAGGAAAAAAATGTTTTCAGTGCAATAGTGACACAGTTGGGGAAAAATAAAGAAAATCTACATGTGACAAAAGTTATTCTGATTGTGTCACCAGAATCTAAATATGTCAACATCTAGATGCTAAATAAATCTTTGAAACGATCTAAGAGAACATATAAAGAAATATTTCATAGGTTATATTTTAAACTATTATATAACAATTTGGTCCGAAAGAAGGGAAGGTTAAGTCCTACAATAGTTCACTAACATAAGATATGAAAACATTTACATTGATCTTTTTATAGCTACATGCTACTGTCAGAAGAACATGGCCACACTCTGGCCCAGCCAGAGTAATGTGTCATAATCAGCAAGAAAAAAAACAAACCTAAAAGGAACTAAGAACACCAGGTGACTCAAGAGAAAAACAAAATGTTTGCTACATTGTGCTAGCTCAACAGAAATTACTTCAAGAAGCAGAAATTGAGGTTAGAAGGTCAGTTAGGAATGCTACTGGTTGGCTGCTTCACAGGCATCGATCCAGTCACTGTAGACGTCCACTGGCTCGGACAGATCTATTGAGAAAAGGTTAAGGACCAAACCAAGTGCTCAAAAATTCAACACACACATGCTGCATCAAAGTTGATCAATCCTTTAAATGAAAGTACTTTATGTGCATGTGCATCCAGAACTGTATTCAAGTGCAGAGTGTATTTAACCTTCCGAGGTCTAAGTCATCATCACAGACAAACCCAACCCGAACTCTATGCAATCACATGTCTGTGTCACAAGTCATGGCAGCCAGAGAACAAAGAAAGTAATCGTTCAAGTGATTAGTTTAAAAAAAAAAAAAAGTATGTTTTCCCTTTTCCCAAAATATAAAGTTGGGGTCGAGTAACCACCTCTGATAACTTAGACCTCGGAGAGTTAATACTTTTTGAAATATACTTCGAAATAAAAAGCAAAATCAAACATCCCTGGCAGCAAGCAGCATCTTTTGTTGATTAAAAGGATACATGTTATGGGAGTCTGAAACTCCTCCAAGCAAACGCTGCAGGATATAATTCCAGTGTTGCGGGTTCGTTCCCTAGGAGACAGTTACTTTAGGCAGGATGTCCCTGATGCATGAATGTTTCAAGAATTTGGAGCGATACTTACATTTTGACATCGCAGGATTTCTCGTGATTGCAAAAAGGGCAAGTGAACTGGGTGTCCAGGTTACCTGTCATTTTCTTCTTGGGAGGTGGCTTTCTTTTTGACTTTCTGCGGCCCATTATATCTCTGTAGACAAAAAAAAAACCAAAACACAGGTGTTTCCATTACGCTTTCACATTCCATTTCGTTTAGAAGATTTTCTTAGACATGTATCTGTGTGTCCTGCCTAACTTATGTGATCCATGTTATCTGACTAGTCACTGCAGTGGTGTCTTGCACTCACATGGACTTTGAAGTTGTGTTTATGCGGCTTTACATTGATCTCATACGATTTTATTGCTTGGTGTGTTTTTATATTCAACATAATCACACAGTATATAAACACTTTATCTGCATTGTTGCAAGTATGGCTGTTATAAAACAACTTTTCTGACTAGTATAAGTAGACAGCAACTATTAGTTACTATCCTATATGAGCAGCTAAGATTAGCAAAAACCATAATACAAAACACGAACTTGAAATGTTGATTAAAATTGCAATCAATTATTTACTTTCATCTGCTATAGATTATTTTTTTTAGAGAAAGTCTTGGACTAAAATTTCTCCGAATTTCCAAGTTGTTTGCGAGGCCTGAGTGTACATTCGTTTAAAATGTCCCCACAGGAAACTCGTTTTTCCGATTATTTCAACACCACATGAATCTTTCACATATTGTACTAAACAGAGACGGCTCTAACCCATCACTTACATAGCTTACTGTTAACACAGCAGACAGTGCAATCCCAGCACGCAGCTGCTTATCAGTAAAGGCTTATTTTCCAAAACAATGACTGCCGCGAGATGTGGGTTACTTAAAATATCTTAGAAAAGATAACCAACGCTGTTGCCAATGTGTAAACAAAACCTGAAATGTGTTTTATTATAGTCATAGCTTCGAGGTGTGGACACTCCTCCAAAGAGCTAAAATAATAACAGAGGGGATGCGGAGATGCTCGCTCTATAAACGCCAAAAAGCTACCGCTATATGTTAGCAGCTAACGCGCTAACATGATGCTGTCATGTAGGAGGATTCTGACTGACGCAAAAAGTTGCTTTCCGAAACAACCTAGAAGGTGACCGGTAAACACAAAGTGCGCTTCTCTGCACTACAGCTTTTGACATTTGAGCGACGACGGGACGGTTGTCTTACCAACGAGATGTCTTTCGGCAGAGGATGCTCCGCTCTTCAACTTGGTACAGATGCAGCGTCTCACTGAGGACGCTTCTGATTGGTTAGGTGGGAGTTTGGTCAGGCTTTTGATTGGCTGTCTTCTGGGGGTCCGCCTCCAGATTGATAAACAAGCTGATACTGTAGATTAGGGACATCAAACCGCCCCGGACTCAACAACCGAGCCAACAAAGGACTCTGGACTGCTTTGTAAAATGTGAAGGAGGGCTGAAATTTTGGACTTGTACCTGTATTTTCGTAAATTTTACAGCTTTCCCTCCTGATAAACACACCCCACCGTGACCATTAAAACCACACCACCGTAATTAAATAATAGATAAATACTTAAATGGCAGAAAAGTTTTTTTGGGTTTTTTGGGGTTTTTTTTTCATCTACTCTAGAAATATTGGGTCCACAGTATAAAAATGACATTTTACATGAATTAGAACTACTTTCAGTTATACAAAGGACCACCTAGGTTATAAGAAATCAGCAGATTTTCTGTAGTTTTACATATTTATTTGTTGCAGTTTAATCCCAACTGCAATCATGCTCTCAGATTTCTTTCAATCACTTTCAATCACTGCTGTTTATAGGGTTGAGGGAAACCTTCAGTCAGCTGAGGCTGAAGAAGTCACTTGGATGAGTTACGAAACGTTTTTCCCACTTAAAGCGCTACGTACAGATGAGCAGAATCAACCATAGCAATTTCTCCGTCATGTAAAAAAATGTCTAAATTGCACTTCTTTTTCTGATATTAGGATATCCCCGTGATTAAAGCTTTTGTAATAGAAAGAGGTGTTTCATTGGTCGAGATGATGGTAAAATCATGTGGTAAAATGACTTTGACATCACATATGTAGACTACTGTAGATCATATAGTTCTGTATATGAATCAGTAAAGTAACTTTTCACTTACGTAGAACATGATATTATCTGTGTGGCGCTGCTGGGATTTGCACCCAGCATCTCCTCTTTGCATTTTAACCCCCTATGCCACAGCACCTTCTGCAGATTACTTTGCAGTGCTCTCCTGGTGCAGAAAAGTGTCCTTAAATAAAAGTAGGGTTTTTTTAATTTAAAAAGCACTCCAGTACTCATGAAAGCACTCCAATCAAAATGTACTCTGAGAAAACATTACACATTACATCCTCCAAAGGGTGTTGAACACTACTGCAAAGAAAATGTGAAAGTATGTAAGAAGGTTTAATAATGCCTGACCATATGACTAATAAATTGGAGGTAAGTGGTTACTAAAGAGTGCATAATCATCAAATTTTGTATGAGCCACAGCAAGGTTTGTGTCCAAACTGACAGTAAATAATTTCCCTGTATGAAATCATTTGTCTTCTGTGGAAATAACTGATTATGGTTATTAAATATTTGACTTCCTGTCTCAAATTCGTTTAAAAATTATTTAAGGTGCAACATTAAATGTTGCACCTGCATTGGGTTGCAAGGACAAACTCTCAGATCAAACTGCTTCACAAATTGTCCAACATAATATCCCTAATAGTGTTACACAGAAAACTGGGGAACACCCACTCAATCAAGCTGCATAAATTGCTATTCAATTTTACAGAAAAAACAAAACAGAAAGTCAACATCTTCTCTGTTATCATAAGCTACGTATCATACTGATCCATACACCAGTGGCTAAAGTATATTACGTCCACTATAATTTTAATATGTGAACTGTAAAAGGAAGATTCTGTTATTTCTTGCTTCCAAAGTTGCAAAAGAATGATTATACACGCACTGTGCACAGATTAGATAGTAAATCTTCAATCCACTATGGCCTTTAATAATTATTCTATGAATAAATAAATAAATCAGTTGATTAAAAATATCTAAAAAACAACTGATACATCTATATTGTAGTGCAAGTTCAGTAACTGCTAAATTTATTTTTAAACTGACGTTTTTTGAGCTAACCAAAAACCTGCAGATTACGCTGGTCTAATCATCCTCCCAACATCTGCAGGGCACACTTGTGTAGCGGGTAAGTACAGGGGAGGGGCCCTGAATGTAAACATCACAGGGGAACCAATGATTAACACGCATATCATAAAATGTTCATTTTCATAGACTACCATTGGCTCGTCTTCGGTGGAGGGGCGGGACCTGCAGGCAAGATAAGTAGACAGAGGAAGCGCCTGATGACCCGCTGAAACTTGGAGTCCATTGACGTTATTAGTTGGTCCTTTTCATTCGGAATAACGCAGAGGAAAGGAAAACAGCTAAGTGCAGGTTTGTGTAACAAGTAGTAAGCGCTTGTACCTGTCACAATGAGGTCCAAAACAAAGCCAGCACCGCCGCTAATATAAAACTTAAGCAACTGTTTGTCAGCTCTGAGGCTAAACCTGGCTAGCTTGACATAACGTTAGACTTTTGCCTGCTGTTATCAGAGGACATGCTGCCTGCTTCTCTGCCGTGTTGTGTTCTTTATCGATGTCTTTTAAGGAACTTTTGCATTCGGGCTGCTCATTTGTCAGTATACTCTGATATGTATTGTTCCTGCTCTGCCTCCTCTCCTGCCATATCGTAATCTGTGGACTTTATCAGGTCTGCTGCGTATGTGGAGAACCTCCCTCAAATGACACGTTTATCTCTCTGGCGCAATTTCATTATCACGGATGAATGTTTGGACTCCTTCAGAGCCTTGGACTTTATAGCTCAAAAAAAGAAAACCTAACAATATATTATAAAATGAATGCGATGCCCAGTTGTATGTTTATACATTTTCTTTCAATGAGTCATACTTTCTTAGAATATTTATTTATTTGTTTATTTTAAGTGGTCTTGAGCAATAGTTCTCCAGAAACTGTTGCTCAGCATTATTAAAGCAGTAAGGGATCATCTTGACAAATAACAGTACAAAAGACAGCCAATATCCACAGAGGAGCTGTGAATGTCCTTGGAGAAGTCTGGAGAACTATTTTGGAAGACTACTTAAAGAAATGATAAGAGAATTCAGACTGTTTTGAAGAATACAATCTTGACTTTCAAGCTTGTTAGAGTTGTACAGATCTGTTTTTGCGTTATTTCTATAATTTCCCCAAAACAACCTAGAAGGTAACCGTTAAACACATTTCCCATTTTCCAAGCAACATTGTAAAGAAAGGAGGGGTGATGCAACATTTTTGCACAGTACTGCAAGAGATTTGCCTGTAAAACACTCGGGCTGTAGAACACTGTATATTGATTTCCAGAAGCTGCATCTACATTTGTGATCATATATGGGACATGTATGATCATATGAGCATGCGTCTGTGACTGCTTTTATACAGCAGAAAACCTAAATAAGACTGTTTAGATTTTTGTTATTGGAATTGTTGTCTTTTCTGTTTTATTATCTCAGTCAAATGCAAACTTGGTTTGTAGCACAGCAAAGGGCTCGAATACATTTTTTAAATATAAATTTTAATAAAATCAGAAGGGGGAAAAAAATTAAGTCTTTGCAATTTGCCCAACTCTCTATTAGTTTTTTTTGTAGCCAGGACCTCATTTGAACAAGGGTGGAGTGTTATGTTATCTTTAGCACGGAGTAGCAGATGGTTAAAATACTAGAATTTCACTCATAAAACCTGAAAAACAAACACCTTGGCTGGACTGTCCCACACAGCATGTCTTGTCTCTTTTGAAAGGTGACACCATGGTGACAGAGGGGGAGCCAACAGATTTTGTTAAAGTGTTGCACCTCATGGTTCTCTCTTTCACCTGGGGCATGCAGCTTTGGGTTTCCTTCATTGCAGGTAAGTGGGCCACAGAACAACAAGGCATGGCTTCAACAAAATGCATGCGTTCCTGTTTTGACACCATGTTTAACGTCTGTGCCTGCAGGCTTTGTGTTGATTCGGCAGGTAACTCGGCACACCTTCGGCCTGGTGCAGAGTAAGCTTTTCCCAGTGTACTTCTACTGCGTGCTTGGAAGTAACTTTGTCAGCCTGGCTGTGTATGCTGTGTACCATCCCAGAGAGTTGCTGGACTGGCATGAAAGTGTACAGGTGAAATATCACACGCTGCTAGGAATGAAAAAACTGAGCACTTTTGATTGGGGGAAAAAAGAAAAAATTAAACATTTTGTGAGTCATCGAGTTGCAAGCTTTCCCTTTTCATCTTCCAGATGCTTCTGTTCTTCGTGGCGCTGATCACTGCAGGTCTGAACGCCCAGTGGTTTGGCCCAGAGACCACTGAGTTGATGTTCTTGATGAGGGAGATAGAGAAGGAGCACAACCTCGGGGAAGAGATCGGCCTGGGCAGCCAGAAAGAGGCTTACGCCAAGCTCAAAGAACAGGATCCCAAGTACAAAGCCTACAGGAGCAAGTTTGGCAGTTACCATGGGTTGTCCAGCCTCTGCAACCTGATAGGATTCCTCTGCACCACAACTAATTTGGTCTACACAGCTTTGAATTTAGCCACCATTTAAAGACAATGTTTTAGTTATTAAAGAACCAAAATGCCGTGCACACTTTTGTACTTTGTTATCTAACAGTGTTTCTGGTTCAGAACACTGATAAATGTGCAGGATTTGTTGGTTCTTTTATCACTTTATGATACAGTAGGATTAGGACACACACTCATACGACTTGGATTGGAAGTACTTTAGTTTACAAAAATCATTTTGCCAACTGTTTCTCTATCATATCAGTGTTGAATATGAAGTGTGAATCATAAATAGCAGTATATGTGACATTTTGCAAATGTAATTACAGAGAATTCTGCATCACTTTATCTGCCCCAAGTGTCCTTATGTGCAAGAACTATCTCCAGTGAGCATGCAGAACTCATCATGTGCTGTTCACTGCTGTCAGTTAAGCACTCTTAACCTTTTTGATTACAAAATGGGTTTTTTTTAATCTTGTATAATTTTATTTTATTTTTTGTATTTTTTTTTTTAAAATGTAGTTGGTTTTATTTCTCAGAAAGCAAAGAAAAGTACCAAGCGACATGGAAGCAATGCACGTCCCTCCCCAGTAGGGGGCGATATTTGGACAAAGCTTTCAGATCCATCGTAGCACACAACATAATGCTATTTCATGTGCACCATGACTTTCTTGATTTTGTAGTGCATTTTAAACTTGTCACCACTGTTTAATGAAAACTATGACTGGATGATTAAAGTGTTGTTTTGATTTTTCCATTTGGATCAACCGGGTGATGTCAAAGTCTTTCTGGTGTTTGGCCTAGTGACACGAGCTTTAAAAGCAAACACTTATTTCAAAGAATTGGTTTAGGAAGAAGTGGTCCTGTGATTCTTGTGGATGAATAAAGCCAGGCCAAACAGACAGTGCCTGCTTTCAGAATAAGCAGGTTTTAATTAAATTCTCGGTGATGCACGTCAGGTTGTGAGGAGAGCAGCCTTGGATGCGGGGAACAGAGCTTTGCCGGCCAACTACAGGATAAGCGAGGCACCATTGCTATTAGAATATGAGCACTAATGGACTGTAGTGAAATCATTTCAATATAAAAAGCATAGGCTAGAGGCTGAAAGTAAATGAATTACCTTGTCCCCAATGCAATTAATGTTGGTCCTTTAAAGGCTGTGATCAGGTTTTTAATGTTTTCTTCCAACCCAATGAAAACAGCATTGTATAAACTGGCAGAATTGCTGTTGAGCATACAGTTTTATCTTACTAAAACACTGATGTGCTATGCAGTCATGTCACAAAATAAACAAGGAAGTTAGTCAAAGAGTCTTGAGGAAACAGCACAGCTACACATGCCAACCTTTTGAGGAGTGTAAGAGCTTTACCTGCCTATCAGGTTATCTGCTGCAGTGGAATCAGGAAATAAACCTTTTTCAACCAGGGAAGAGGTTTATTCACTGATCTCTTCAATATTTCTCATGCAGTTACAGAGCTGTTAGTGATTATCTCAAAAAGTGAATAATGGTACAAGAATTCTTTGTATGAGGAAAAAAGCTGGACACAGAGAATATGGATGAACACACGATGTTAAAAACAGCTAAAATTCCTCAACTCTGGGTGTGCAAAATAAAACAAAAGAAAGCTAAGAACAAAAGGAATTGTTGGGGCCTCCTCGCAGACAGGTCCAACCATTCCTCCCTCATTCCTGAGTCACACAAGGAAATGAGTCTGTATTTGTTTCCGAGAACGTAAGAGTCTCTACTGCAGTCGGTATTCTGAAAACGCCTGCTAGTTTGTGGAGTCGTGATGGTACTGCAGTGCAGCCCTGCAGTAATATAGTGTGTTAAATTAATTATGAGTCTAGAAGTCTCAAGCTGCTTTATTCCATCATGTCTTGTGGAGAAATTGGTCCAATTTGCAATTGTCTGATTTCAGTGATGGATAATGCACCTATGCATCATAAAACACCGAGCTCCTAATAGAACCATCTGTCAAAGGATTCTGCTGCTCACTTTGATACAAGCATTAAGGGCCAGGTCTCACACAGCTTCACCTTAGACATGATCAAGTTTTCTGCAGTGTGCACCAGAGAAAAAAAATGAGCAAAGCTCCACGTCTTAACTGAGATTTTGTGATAATAGCTGCTGGACATTTTTCCTGATGCCAGTGTTTGCACCATTTAGGCTCTCTTCTAATGTTGAGTATCTATTCTTATCTATCCTTATACTTAACAGGTTCATTTGTATCTCTCATGTTATCGCTTATCTTATCTTATCTTATCTTGTATATAAGCTTAAAGGGTCAATCACAGGACAAAAAAGGGGATGGGGGAGCGGGGGGGGGACAAAAATCTGCAAGCACAGGTTAGATCCCTGTATATTTAATGTGTATATCTGTCTGTCTCCCCCAGATGTAGTTCCTTCTGAAAGCAGAGAGCTGGTCACTTCTCTTACACTCAGCTGTACTTCACACCACCGAGCTTGCAATCCAAATGCACTTAGCTGTGGAGCCCATTACTGGTAGTTTATTTTAAAATGACACAGAAAGGCTGTGATTGTTTGGAAGGATGAATCTTGGTTACAGTGAATACTACATGGTGAACCTTTGGCTCCCCCACCCCCACTATACCTTGACAAGTCAGTCTGGCACTCAGCATAGAACCACAAAGTATCATTTTACTGGCACCAATTGAACAAAATACAACAGTAAGCTTTAAGCCTGACCACAAATAAAGCAAATAAAGATTTGCTTGTTATCCATTCATAGTAGGCTCTTGCTGTACTCCTTTAAAGGTGCTTGTACAGGGATTTATTATTCATTAAACAAAGAGGAGTTAGCTGTTTCCACCCCCAGTTCTAATCTCCATACGTGCAACAGCTGCTGGGGCAGAGTGATATTATCATCAAACTCTCTGGGGGAAAGAAAAATAACCTAAGTATCACATCTTTCGCAAAAAAGGAAACAATTAATGTAAATATCACAGGGTTACACAGCGAACTGGGGGGTGTTGCCATGCTAATGCAGCCCTGCTAGTGAAAACATAGGAGTTTTCACTGCATAGTGAAAAACATAGGAGTTTTCACTGCATAGTGAAAAACATAGTGAAAACATAGGAGTAAATATAATATAATATAATATAATATAATATTCTGAACTAACTACTGAGTCGTTCACGTCTGCGTAAGGATATTAGAAATTGCTTGTGTTGTTTATTCAGGGTGTGTGGCTCTCGCGCGTGCACTTGCGCACGCACGCTGGACAGCCCTCTCTCCTCCTCGCGCTGGTGGCAGACCTACACAGTGTCGTGGCGTTTAGGGTGCTTGAGTGTCCGCACCAACTCTGTCACAGCGAGAGCCGCGGCTTCAGCCCCAGCTGTCCACAAACCGAGAGCAGGTTGTAGTACGCGAACAGCGAAGCGAAGGAAAAGAAAAGTAGTTGTTGAGGAAGGGAAACAGGTCGGAGGGATATTTCAGGTGCACTTTATTAGCAGACTTTGATAGGTCGTTTGCTCCGCGTATTACCGGACGGGAGATACCAGAAGTAGAAAGGAAAACGAGTTGGACGTTTCCTTTCTTCCGCAAAAAAAGAGGTACGTTTCTCCCTTTCCCAGCTGTTTTCCTGCACAGTGCTTCCTTCATGTCCGACTACTAACTGGGAACCTTTACTAAAACTTCAATGTTTCCTGCTTTATCCCTAGGCTTTATCCTTTATCTGTGTAGGCTTATCCCTACAGAGTAATAATACACACTCTCGTTTTGCAGGAAATATGTTGACATAAACTAAGCTGTTATTTGTTTTGTTTTGTTTTCACCCAGTATCGAGATAGTACTGAAGCCTAAGCCTGAATTTTCCATCTGTGTTTGTGTCTCGGTCCTGCTCCTAATGAGAGAACAGATGTGCTGCTGCCAACTAATCGATAATGGTCATTTCCTGTTGGTTCAGGCAGACTGCTGCCTCTGGCTCAGCAAGCAATGCCAGCTGAGGGATCTGGCCGCACTGCCATCAGGCTCTATATACCATAATGGCCTCTATTTGTTTTACTGGGGATAATGACGCTCCTTTGTGCAATAAAGGAGCTCCCATTCTCATCCACTCAGCAGCTCCCTGAATGGCCAGTTTCACTTCATGGAGGATGGCTCGTCTGTGGTATGAGAGCAGGTGCTTGTCTTAGTCTTCCCAGCTGCTCACTGAGACCTGGTCCTGTGGTGATGTTTGAATAAGCTGCTTTTATTTCCTCATATTGTTCTACTTATTTCAGAGACACCATTGGGTACTTTGACCATAGAAAGAAATCTTTATAACTGTCCTGCTTTGCAATTGTCTTTTTTTTTTTAAATATCATTTGCATACCCAGAAGTAACTTGACTCTGCAGAACTGAGCAACACCACAACAGGAAAAGCACTTTAAATTCTTGTAATCTCTACAACATGTAATGAACAAGTTTTAAAGTTTTAGTTTCTTAAAATTTTATGAAACGTCAGCAAGCTTATGTGAGTCTGCTTCTGCCTGCAGGCGTTCTACACTGCACAGTAAACACAAAGGACAAGTGACACGGTGTACTGCAGCCTTAAGCCGAGCTCAGTAGAGTGGAAGTTAAGACAGTTAAGAAACATCACTTTAAAATGAGTGAATCAATGTTATGTGATTTCTGAGCAGAAAAATGTACCTCAAGTTGCACAGGCATCATGTGATTCAGGGTTTCAGAGCCAGTATCCTGAGAGATTAGAAAGAATTGGGAGACGTGGTGTGGGGCCCAGGACCTTTAATACCCAGAAACACATTTTTCCATTTAAAAGGATCGTGAGAGGGTATAGCAGGTGTGCCTAGGGCTCACATTCAGCAGGAAAGAAAACTTGTTTTACTTTCACACAGTTTTACAATACAAAACCCACAGAGGCAATTTAAAATGCTCAACTGAAGTGAGGCTTAAAGTCTGGATTAACCCTCCAGCTAAACTGCAGCTACTTTTAAAAAGGTGGTCTTACACTTATATACAGACAGAGTTCTTAACAAGTGAAACACACAGACTTGTCCTCTTATGCCCTGTATGGCAATTATTCTGACAGTACAGAGGGAAGACACTCTTTCCTCCTTATTTTGTTTTCTTTAGCTCTCATGGTAGTGAGATAGATATGTGTTGAGCTCTGGAGACCACCATCTGGCCAGTTAAAAGCTGAGCGTACTGACTGCCTTGACCGCTAATGGGTCTTGCGGGCAGCTGAGTCAAAGTCTGGTCTCCACGGAGACGGGTCTGACCAGAGAGAGGCACAGCTGAGCTGCAACGATTGATCTGCTGTGTGTGCGTGCGTGCGTGCGTGTGTGTGTGTGTGTGTGTGTGTGTGTCTGTTTGAATGGACGCACATGGCCAGCTCTCTGCCCTCCTCCTCCCTGTGTTTGGTTGACTGACAATAAAAGGTTTGATGGCAGGTAATCTCACACTTGCCCCAGAAGAGATTACACTGAGATTAATGGCTGTAATGAAGCGATTGGACAGATGACAGGACGTCCTGTACTTTCATTTAAAGGAAATTTTCAGGTTTTTAGTGTGTGTACAAATGGCACATCGAATGAAAATATATACAATTAGCAATTTTGTTTAGTTAAGTCACAACATCATCAAGTCAACTTCTAGTTGAAGTAGTCATTCAGCGTGCGTACATGCCAATCACTTCCTCCTCTCTGCTTCTTTAAATTAATGATGATTTCTGCTTTTCCTCAGTAGAAATCTGCAAACGAAACATTTTTCTATGTGTGTGAGAGCTGTGAACAGAGGTGTTATGTTTGTGCGTTGATTGCCTGTCCATGCAGCTGCTGCTTTGCTAGTTGTAACCACTAACCAGCGTGAGGGATGTGATAATGCAGTTGTGATGCCGTTAGTTGATTTTGGTAGGATGTTTCAAGCAAGTGCTTTAGTTTATCCTGATTTTTCACATAGACTTTGCCCTCTCGTAAATGCTCCAGATGGCATCAACTGAGTCGCGGCTCCAGCAGCAGCCCTCGCAGAAGGATGCAGCCGACCAGAACTTTGACTACATGTTCAAGCTGCTGATCATTGGCAACAGCAGCGTGGGGAAAACTTCCTTCTTGTTCCGCTATGCCGACGACTCCTTCACCTCCGCTTTCGTCAGCACCGTGGGCATTGACTTCAAGGTCAAGACTGTCTTCCGCAATGACAAGAGGATCAAGTTGCAGATCTGGGTGGGTAGATTTGAGATAAATGAGAAGTTCTCTCTGCCAAGCTACAGCATCAGTTCATTCTGCCGTTTTGTTTGCCAGAATGAAGAGGAGCTTCATGTGTACTCTGTGATAAGCTGTTGTAAATCAGAGTGGATGCTCCATACTTCTAAAGGTGTTATTGGTTTAGAACATGTTAAGTCTTTCACCTCTTACTGAACAAAAGTCTTAAAAATACATTTTTCTCAAACTGTGGTTTGGCAGTTGTGCAAGTGTACCCTGTGAATTGTGTAAATGTAAAAAGCATGACTTCCTCATGTTTTATACGCATTTATACTTCCTACCCATTATCACGCATCTGCTAAGTGTCAACATTTGTTTAAAGGAGATGGATGGTGGTGCTTACTACAGTTTTAGTTGTAGTTGTAAGCCAGGGTTTGCCTGTTTTACCTTAGATCTAGTGGTACCGTGCCTTTAAGAAAAGTTATGGTATGAATGTTTTTTGACACTTTTTTGACCACCTTTTGTATCGGTATGGTGAACGTGTTAGCCTAGAACAGGGACATCGGACTCATTTTACATCAGATTCATTTTACATCGTGGGCCATATTTTGATCTTACGTGGGCTGGACAAGTGGATCTGCCTTTTCTGTCAGTTTAACTACACATTTACATACATGCAGTTTCAACAGTATTTCTTAAGTTTTCTACATGCTAAAGAAATGCTCCTGTGGTAAATGAAAGAAATCTGTCCATACGATTTGGACTTAAGCTGTAAGAGGTAAATGTGTAAAATTACAGAAAAAGTTCTGGTAGCTCAATCTCCAGACTGTGCTGTATTTATAAAACAGAAGGTTTCTGTCAATTAATAGAAAATTTTTTCCAAAGCCGTTTAGTGGGCCGGATTATCTTTCCCGGGTCAATTCTGGCCCAGGCCTTATGTTTGACATCACTGTCCAAGCAGATACAATTTCTACTAAATCTTAAGATAAATTTCTGGATACTTAGCTACTGTTCACATGACTGTTCACTAGCTTTAACTAACTTTATCTGCTGATTACAGTGTCACCTGGATGCCAAGGTGGAAAAGTGTTCTCTATCGTGGGTTATGATGTCCTCTTCATTTAAATATAAAATGTGTTTTGACAAATTGGGCACAAATTCCTTCCTCTTTTGCTTCCAAGGTTGAGAAAGTAAGATGTATTCATTGTTTAGTTGCTGTACATTTCACGTAGACACTGATGCAATACGTTGTGTGCAGCATTTATAGCAGGCAAGGTGTTGTGATGGTGTTGTTTGTAAGTTAAACACCATCTGAAACAGTACAGTAGCTCCACAGTCACATTAGCACATAATGCTTCCTTGTTGTTGAAGTCTTCAGGTGTTGATTCAGCTGTTTTTCTGAGCTACAGTTTGTAGTATTGTTGCGTGTTGCGTTCGACAGTTGATGTTGTTGCTGTAATTCACACCACTGTTCCTCTTTGCTAACTCATTTTGTCATGCATGTTTATCACACAAGATCATGATTTTGGAGAATTTGCTATCGATGCTTTTCATGAATTTGGCATTTCTTTGACGGGCAAGCAGACATTACTTCCCCTAATAGTCATACAGTTAAGATAAAAATATCAAAACACACATAATTAGATTGTGAACAGTTTGATTATTATGAATAAAACTGTTAAGTCTTACATTAATTGTATAATGTCTACTGTGGGTCAGCACTGTAGACTATAACTAAAAGATGATGTACTGTAGAGCGGATGCAAACTCCGGGAAGGTCTGAAAAGTGAAGTTGGTGAGATGGTCTTCTGAATAGAGCTGCTCGATTGTGGGGAAAAAAATCATAATTATTTTGTTCAGCATTAAGGTCTCGAATTTTTAACACAATAACTCTACATTTGAAAACGTTTTGTCAACTAAAGTCTCTCTTTCTGTCATCTTGGCCATAATCATTAGAAGTTCTAATTGTAATTTAATTTAAATGTAGTTGCACAACCCTGGCTTTCAGGAACTACTGCCGTAGTTGCAAAAAGAAGTCAAACTGAGTTGAAGTCTCTGAAAGAATAACCCTGCTTCTCGCTTGATTTATGACCTCAGTAAACACTTTCCCAATGAGTTTTCCGCCTCAGTTATTAACGTCAACACAACATTATGCTTGTTTTTTAAATTTTAGTTTATTTAGAGTAAATTACATGAAAGAGCATTTTGACAGGTCACTATTATATGAGGATCCACCCCACACTGTAACAACAGCCAAAATAGAGTTGGGGCTTCAAAAGGAACTTCAGTGGCTGACCCCACTTTTTAAACTATATGGTAACATCTGGTTAAGTCACTCAAATTTATCTGCAACATGGTGACAGGATGGCATGGGTGGATTACTAGTTTTTAAAAAATCGATGGGTAGTTGCATTATGGGAAATCTAGGATTCAGTGTTGGACCAGGGCTGGGGCAAAAAAAAAAGTCAAACTCTGTTGTTTCACCCCAGTTTCTTTTTGTTCTTCTTTTAAACTTCCACCTTCAGAGAACTATAATGGGTACCTTTAAATGCCTGTGCCAGTTTTTGAGATGATACTTTTTCCACCTTTTTACAGTTAGCAGTTGAGAAACAGCAGGAATCAGCTTCTATGATTGATCAGCCCCACTGACAGCTTTACTAACAAAGTTAACTTTGGAATGGGCTTTCATATTGTACTATAAGGTGTATCCTGGCAGCTCACCTTCCCTCACACTATGCTACAAATCCTGTCTATATACATTGTTTAGGCTGATCAAACAGATGATTCATTCAAACCAGCAATCTGTGAGCCACTGTATGATCCACAAACAGTGACCCGAATGAATCAGCAGCCGAGAGGAGCCCACACCAAAACACACAGTCACCTAGTGTGTGAATGTGTGTGTGTGTGAATGGGTGGATGACTGGTTGTGTAAAGCGCTTTGGGGTCCTTAGGGACTAGTAAAGCGCTATACAAATACAGGCCATTTTTACCATTTACTAAAACTGTGTCTCTTATAAATGACATGCAGTGTTAGTGGTGTTAGTCTAACAGCTGATCAGGAGGGAGAAAAAAAAAACAGCAGTAACTAACTTGACTGTGTACTTTGTATTCAATAATTAGAGGACATTGTTATGGGGTTCTACAGAAGCAGCAGTACTGATGGTGCTGTTGGATGACAAAGAAACCTGGTATTTCCTAAACTCAGGAAGCAGAGGAAGTTCCTTATCAGCGTCTCACTGAGCCATAGCGAAGATCGACTGCGAACTCAGTAGTGTATTTAAAGGGTGTGGGAGCAGCAGGCATGTCTTAAAACAAGCACTCTCTTACATCGTGTTAATATTTAACTCTGTAATAATTCAGGAATGCTAAATTAAAGTTGGCTACCTAACATAAGAGAATTCACCAGAGCCTTTGACAAAGAGAGTTGCAGATTAAGCCATTGTGCCAGCTGCCAGCCTCACTGTGTGTATCATGGAAAGTAGTCTGATAACGCACCACGTGGCCCTTGCACAGTGCATGAACATACAGGAACTCATGTACAATATGAACACACTGTGCACACACACTGTGTACATCCCTGCTCTCATGTCATGGAAATAAATTTCCTTTCTTTAAGCAAACACACACACCTTTTGCACATTTAGCATAAATACTGCCGCACATATGCCCGGGCGTGCTATCCCTGGGGATGATGTCCTGTGTGTGCCACTGCTTCATGCCGGTCGCTTATACAAACGCAGGTGACGCATGTTTAAAGATCAGGGTCCCAGAGACGTCAGAGCTTCTGATTGTGCACAAGCCTAATTTAAACTCCTCCCTATCTGTCATCGCATATATGCACACGAGGGAGCAGCTTTTGTTTACTGTTTGGGGTTTATTGTAGCAACCTTGGAGACTGACTGTTTGGTTAGTAATGCTATTATGCTGCCAAATATTTGATCATCCCTTCGTGGATGAGATAAAGATGGACCTGGGATATATCACACGTTACTGAAACAAAAATAAACTCTGACAGAGCAGGCTCTGGAAAGATTAAAGAATAAAGCTTGAGCACTCTGCTCGAGGGATTTTACCAGCAGACTGCCCTCTGTGTTGGTTGTTTTCGTAAAGTGAGAAGGATCGCTCTGGTTGTCCACCTAGAGCAGTCCTAGCTGTAATGGAACATTCATAACCTTCAATGCCCTCTGGTTACCTGGACAACCCACTCTTCCTCCTCATCAAAATGAGGAAAACATCAGACACACACAGGCCCCTGATGCAAATTAAGGACTTTAGAAAGGTTACCAGGTAACCACGAGAGTGGCGGCGAGATAATCAACCAACTCACTCTACCTTTTTGATATTTTATGCTTTAATTGTCCAATAAATAAACTGAGCCGTTGGCTGTGATATTACACAGCCTCCAGGTGGTTAGTAATCCAAGCCACAAGTCCCGGTGTGATGAGAAATGATTGTGGCAGGAGCTCGTATCTAAATGCCATCTTCCCCTGGACTGTGTGGTGCAGAGAAATGGCATTTTGAAGCAATGCAGCCAGTTGGTTTGGAAGAAAAAAACTACATGAAGGTCTCACAGAGTGCAGCAGAGCCTTGACCTACCCTGATATTTACCAGTACATGTCTAATAAAACCAAATACAAATCTGACTTGAATTTAACTTAAAAACAATTGAAAAGAACTTACCTAACCAGTACTAACAAGAATCATCAAAGCTGGTGAAACTAGGAGTACTAGTAGCATCATTACATGAAAAATAACCCTATCCCCACCTTCTGCTTAAAATAGCCATCCCTGCAAGATATTTCTAAATTATAGGATGTAAATGCAATTATAGGGCATTAATGCTGTAATGGATGACTGTCAAACTTGCTCTACTTGGACTGTGTAGTGTCAAGTCAAAGCTGACACCTTAGATAACTGTTACTTGGAAAGAGTCCAGGGTTAGTGTTGGCAATACTGCCCCCTTGTGGTTTAAAATCATATACTGGAGATTTTTAACCTTAAAAATGTAAAGTGAATGAAGCAGATAGAATGAAGTATTTCATGGACTGTGTATTATTGTATAATTGCAGGACACGGCAGGGCAAGAACGCTATCGCACCATCACCACAGCCTACTACAGAGGAGCCATGGGCTTCCTGCTCATGTATGATATCACTAACCAGGACTCCTTCAACGCAGTTCAGGACTGGTAAGTGTGGAATGAGTGAAAAGCTTTACTATTAATACTGTCTACATTAGATTATGTATTTGTAATTTTGTTTTATCTAAAAAAAAACAATTAAAAAAATACATTCTCGAGTATTTTATCTAAAGTGTGAAGTTGATGCCAGTTGATGGAACATGAAGGGGTTTTTGGTATGTTAGTGCCATCATGTGGTCAGTTGTGAACTGAGACGTAAACGTGACATCCCTGTTCTTCTTTGTCCTTTTTATATACAGTTAGAGCAATAATATATTGTACAAAGTTAAGTAGTTTTATCTCTGTACACAGCCACAGTGGAAACAATCAAGATATGACTGAAGTGCAGATTTTCAGCTTTAATAGAAAGAAATGAACAAACAAAATCTTTAATGGTTTAATAGTAACGTGACTTATAATGAGGCCCAAAGATGGTGCCATTGATGTCAGTGCAAGTGAGGGAGGCCATCAAAAGGCAGAAAAATAAAAGTAAACCTATCGCTGACACAGCACTATTTTAGGAGGAGCCATTCTTCAAAATAATGAATGCAGTGGCCGCCTCAGCAATACCAAAAAGCCTGAAAGACAACAGAAGACAAAATACATGATTGGAGAGTTCTTTTCACAATTAAGAAAAACAGCCTCTCAACATCTAACCAAGTTAAAAACACTCTTGAGAAGGTATCATTGTCAAGGTCTACAATCAAGAGATTCCTTTGTGAATGTAAATATAGAAGGTATCTAACAAGTCCTTTTATATTTACATTCACGAAGGGTGAATGTGAATATAGAACTTCCTGTTCGTCTCAAGAAGAGGAAGTTCAAAAGAACATCTAAAAAATCTGAAAAAAAGTCTGTGCAGTTCTGAAAATAATTCTCTGAACAGATGAAACCAAGATGAACGTACCAGAATAATGGAAAGAGAAAAGTGTGGAGAAAGAGAAAACGGCTCATGATCTGAAGCATACCACAAAGAAATTGGAGATACTTCAAATGCCAAGTCAGTCACATGATCTCAACCTAGCAGAGTGCTTCCCAGTTATTAACTTAAAATTTGAATGCAGAATGATCCACAAAGAGCAGCTGAAGGTGGCCGCAGTAAAGGCAGCATCTGGTGACATCCATGGGTTCTAGACTTCAGGTGTCACTGTCTGAAAAGGATTTTCAACAAAGTTTAAAAAAGTCTTTATATTTAAATTCATGTTAGTTTGTCCCATTCATTTTGAACATCTGAAAACAATGTATTGTGTATAAAAATAGCTGAGTTATAGGTGGAAGTCTGCAGTTCAATCATATCTTGATCATTTAACACCCACTGCAATGGTGTATGTGGGCAAACTTCAAATTTGTGTCACTGTCTAACAAGGTATGGACCTCAATGTATTTTTTCTGCCAGATTTCCCAAAGAGTTTAGTGAATCTACAGCAAATATGCTACTTATCATATTTGGATGATTCTAAATAAAAATGTTTATTTAAAAACACTTAACAGCACTGGATAGCTGGTTTTTACCCCTCAGCCGTAATGTCGTCACCCTGACGTAGACACTGAAGTTTGTGAACTTTAGAACAAAGGGATGTAGGAGTTTCAAATTGATACCATAGGTATATCTACTAAAAATCTCAAAACAGTTCAAAATCAGTGATCCCAGCGTCAAGATCAGTGGGCAGAGGACAAGTTTTCTGAAAATCTTGTGAATGCGATAATTTGAGAAGGACGTCACCCAGGATTTAGAAATTGATTCCATAAATGTATCTAGTAGGAGCCTGAGGGGTGAACCCCCTGCAGGGGGTTTAGATTCTTGTGGTTTGGAGTTGCAGCCCAAATTAGATGAGAAATGCATTGCCGTGCTATATTAATGCAAGAATTTGTAAATAATGTACAATAAAGTCTATATTTAACTGAAAGTAGTACAAAGTACAGTAGACAATACAAAAAGTACAAAGACAACATATAAACTGTTGAAACTGAGAAATCATATAGCTTTTAGAAAAAAAATGCTAATTGGAGATGAGATGAGATGAGAGACCAGTAATGCATTTCAAATACATTTCAAATGCATTTTAAAAAACGTCATTAACAACAGGCATAACTAGGAGTTTAACTCGATGATCTCAGGAACAATTCTGAATACTATTCTCTGTGAACACAATTCTTCACTGCGTCCTTATATGCAGTTTAATCTCTGTCATGCGGCTGGCAGGTGATTGACCTAAACCTCTTCAGGGCAGTCTGAGGTCAAGTGGAAAACTGTTCTGTGACTGATGATTCAAAATGTGGGAATCATGGATGCCACGTCCTCAGACTAAAGAGGGTTGGGACCGTGTGGGTTGGTATCAGGGACATGTCACATAATCAATACATTTGGTACATTATAAAATGAAAATTTTTGTGCAGTTGGAATCCTTTACCAAGAAAGAAGAGAAAACATTTAGCTTTCAAAACAACAGTTTTATTGACACTAGGAAAAACTCGCCCTATATATCTTTTTTCTTCTTTATTCAAAACAAGAATGATTAGCAAAAACCACAAAATATTTAAAATGAAAAATTACGTTTTAGATAAAATGTAGTATTACTTGCTGAAGGGTTCATTCAGTCGTGATGGTTGCTAAAATGTCTTTGGCTTTGGGCGCTGGCGACCCAACACTGCATTGGCAAGGAGATAACAGAATGAAAAGGATGTATATGAAGAAGTAAAACAGTGGGATTTATAACAAATCGTTTTTTTTAACATATAGATATTAATAGTTGTTATATATGTAACAATGTTTTGCGTATACAATGGTCCCTCGGTAAAACGCGGTTCACCTCGCTGTTTCGCAGATTTCATTTTTGTGTGTGTGTGCAATTTTGCATACCTTTTTACAGCGCATTGTGTTCTGCATCCTGATTGGCTGTTGACTATTTTCAGTTGATCTCGTGCCGTGTCTCCTGCACAGTACAGAATGCGTTCAGCTTGTCAAATTTACATAAATCTTCGATCGCTAGCAACATGACTCTGAAGTGCTGTACTGTGTGTTTGTAAGTTTTCTCCCCAACAAACACAACAATGTCGACGAGACGTTATCACCTGCGGGTGCCTTTGGTTTCATTCTATAATACTGGACTTATTTGTCTGCAAGGTTTGAACTTCGAGTGTTTAAACAAGAAAGAAAAGTGAAAATGTTCATGCCTGTCTGAGAAAACTGTATAAAGTGTGTAGTGAGGGGTTTTACAGCCTTAAAACATCTATAATAATTGTAAAAAATAAAGTTGGCTACTTCGTGGATTTCACCTATCACGGGTTATTTTTAGAACGTAACTCCCGCGATAAACGAGGGACCACTGTATGTTATTCTGATTGGCTTACCCGTTAAGAGATACAGTTCATGCACACATATGTATATACATATTTGATCATTATAGTAAGAATAGTTTAATCAGAGTGTCCTATATATATGCATTTTTCTCTGTTGTTAATCATGTAGACTTTGCAACTCTGGTTTTGTCTTTCAGGGCAACACAAATCAAGACATACTCGTGGGACAATGCTCAGGTGATCCTGGTTGGTAACAAGTGTGACCTGGAGGATGACAGGCTTATACCCACAGAGGATGGCCAGCGACTGGCTGAGGAGCTAGGTAAAAGCCGTTAGTGTCACAGTGTTATTTCTTTTTAGCTTAGAGTCTGCAGACACGTTTGACTTGTCTTTTTTGTAGATTCTGACATTAGTACATCTATTTTTCATAGCACATGAACTGAAATACCATTTAGCTTTTTGACTTTGCTTCATGTCAGGTTTTCAGTTCTTTGAGGCCAGTGCCAAGGACAACATCAACGTCAAGCAGGTGTTTGAACGTCTAGTGGATGTTATCTGTGAGAAGATGAACGAGAGCATGGAAGGAGACGCCAACCTCATAGCCAACCACAGCAACCAGGGCCTTAAAGACTCACCTTCAGAGAGCCACGGGGGCTGTGCTTGCTAAACCATCTGCCTTCTTAGTCTCCCAACACACACACACACGCACACACACACACACGCACACACGCACACACACACACACTGAAGAATAACTTGTCTGTGCCTCAACCATGAAAAGTGCCGCACCTCCCCTTTCACTTGAGCCATACCGAGCTCTGCCCCATCCACACAGCACAGATAATCTTCAGCACATCCTCCTCCTCCTCAGACCTGTCTTTCCTTCGAAGAGACCCACTCTGTCACTTTCTTTCTCTTAAGGGAGACTTTAAGCCGCCACATACACCTCTTTGACTGCTGTAGCCCCATTAACTACCACGTGAAATCTAGTGAAACATTTATTCAGTGCATTCAGTTTTCTTAGACAAATATTTTTATAGACAGCAACAAGCTAGCTATCAGTTTATCTTGAAAATTTTGATTTGATCGATGAACTGTTTAAATGTGTTATACTGTAGAAACCAGTAATGTCAAGTTCCAATAGGACTTGTCTTCGGTCTAATATTTATTAAGGTATTGATTTCTGATGGATTTTAGCAGCTCCGAGACGTTTTGTGCTTGATGAGTCTTGTCCAGGATGCTCCCCTCTAGGGACTGATTAAAGGAAGGAAACATGAAGGAGTCTTGCACAGCGTGCTGAAAGTTTTCAGCATTGCCAACCCTCAAGGGCAAGTTTGACAAGAACTCTGCTTTCTTGTCAGGAGTAAAAAAAAAAAAAAAGTACCACTGCTGCATATGGTAAGTAAAACTACTGCCTAGAGCTGGTTAACTTAGCCAAGCATAAAGACATCGATATACTAAACTTCATATTCAAAACATACTTAGACTCACTTAGAATATAGTAAGTCAGTAGAAGCGTAATAACTACTGTACAAACACGTGTGACCAGTCTACTCCAGTCTAGAGCTTCCCTTCACCTCTTCTTCTTGCTGTTTACTAAATGTCAGGTCTGCCACACAGTGTGATGTACTAGTGTCAGCAAGCCCCTCATGTGACATGTCCTCTGTCCACCTTCTGTCTCACACACACAAACACACACATATTGCTCCCTTAACTGTAGCATGGTACTGTGTTTAGTAGGTGAGCAGTTACAATGTGGTGAATTATCTTTTTTTCCCTTTGTTTGTTACTGACACGACTGTTTTCAAGAAGTGCAGCACATTATGTGTGTTTGTGCCCAGAAAGGGGGACAACCACTGATCTGTGAGGACGATAAGTCCGGACACCAACCGTGCTGTTGCAACTATCAGGAGGAACAGTGAGCCGGTGCAGAGCATCACTTTATTCCCCATTACTGTTATAAATCAATGTGAATAAAATGCAGTTTTAGAATGACTCCACATAATTGTATTTTATACATCTTGTTTTGTTCCTGCTGTTTGGACAAGATTTCAGTGTTGAAAGGTCAGTTTGACCCTCCTGAAAGCGTCATCCTGATGGGAAAGATTGAAATTTGGAGCGTCTTTTGGATTTCACCACAAATCAGGGATGGGAATACAAGAATTGTGTGTTGTTGTTTTGTTTTGTTTTGAAATCTTTTTATTTTTATTATTACCATCCATGTGCAGACTGTTGACTGTCAGTTAGTATTAACCATAGCCTCTGTACAGCGATAGCAGCCTCACACTGCTAACTGCTGGTCAGCCCACTCCCTGCTACTGTACGAGCCTGCGGCCACTTATCGCTCGTGTCAGCATGTGCTGCTGAATAGTGATATAGTTTGACAGGTATTAGATGTTATCATATCACGTGTCTGTGGCATGCTGCGCTTTGATGCAGGGGTCTAAAATAGGGAAGTTGTGTGCAAGATCAGTAATTCATAACACTATTTGTATTATATCATGCAGTTTTGCAGTGTATTAAAATGGCATGCAAAAACCATGTTTCTCTTACTGAGCTTCTGATGGGGACTGCTGCTTGAAACATGCTGTTCTGCTCTGTCCACTGATATCACATTTTAGTTCAGCAGGTATCTGCCATTGTGCTCAGACGCTCTTGTGCAAACAGGTTTGAACCTCAGCTTTTAGTCCTAGAGATGTTCTTTCTTTCTTATGCTTATGGCATATATATTTTAATGTCTTACATTCCTGATTGATAGCTTTCTAAAAGATGGGAGATTAGACCCTTTGTGCCGTTTATTATATTTTCTGAATGTGCAGGGTGAACCCATTGTTTGGAAAGAAAAAAGTGCATCTTATAAACAAGGACAAATGTAGAAATCTGTTTATGAAAATAAAGAATATATTCACTACAAAAAAGACGGGGGGGAGCACAATAGTCTCTTCATCTCATAAATGAGTTCTGAAACCTGCACACGTGTCTTTGCGGTCATGGCTACATCTAAGGTTTAATTTATGACCAGGAATCGCACATCCTAACCCCAAACATCTGTTTTATCTGAAGAAACAGAGAAACCACATTCTGTCCTTGTCCTCCGCAACAATACAGATGTCTTCTTCCTGCCATAAGACACAACTTCCCTTCCCTATGCAAGGGAGGCCTCTGCTTCTAAATAGAATTCTCACTTAGCTGACTGGAAGGGATGTGAAACTGAAGTGAGCAAATGTATGCAAATGTGTCATTATTTAAACAAAACGTAGCTCTTTACGTCGGTGCCCATCTCACAGTCATCATACTGCCCTTTGTAAGTGATGTAAACACGTGCTGAATTGCATTTAAACTGACGGGGATGGGCTGAGACTACTTATCTTGGGTGAAGAAACAGGGCTGTCTGCACCTCTGATAATACTAGCCAAACCAAGAAAACACGGAGGTGCAGTGAGTAGATAAGGAACCGTTTAGGCCTGCTTCGTACAGAGTGTGAGTGGGTACTCAGCGGTTTCTGTTACATGAGCACATGCAGGAATTAAACTGTCCCAGGAGACAGCAGGGGACTACAGACCACCTCCTCGGGCCAGTCAGTGTTTGCGCACCATTTCCTCAAAAAGGGCTGTTATCTATCTATCCATCTAAATATCCATCTATCTATCTAAATATCCATCTATCTATCGATCGAACTCTCTATCTGCGCGCATTTACGCAATACAGATCTCAGAGGTCGCAAACATGTTGTAAACATCAATGAGCGCGTGATTCCCGCCCACCATGCCAAAAAGTTCTGAAAGACTTTATTTGCCCCACCTCTTCTGTTCTCACTCAAGGAGAAAGTAAACAGCTCGGCGTATAAGCACCTTATCGCTCACGAGCAGGCGCGTAATAACCGCGCTGCGCTATGCATGGTATCGAAACACAAAACAAGCGAGGAGAGAGCTGCGGCAGATGTGTTTGTGGCAGGTTGTTTTCCGGTGATACAGGTGGACAATAGAGGGCCGAGGTCGTTCTGTTCCCCGAGAAGACATGATGACATGTGAGATTCTGAGTAGACTGTTGGCACTTTGCGCGATAGCCTGCATCGCGCGAGCGGGTTCCACCCTCCAAGACGCTCGAGATTTCGAGGAGAAAGGTAAGGCATCTTTTGATTTTGTTTTTTTTCTGGAACTTTTCAGGAAGGCGTTAGTGTGCTCCTATCATGCCATTTCACATAGTGCTCTCACATTTCCAATTTGCCACCCTCAGTGTCCATTCTCCTGAAAGAAGAACTAGAAACCCCCAAATGCTTTGCTGAAGGGAGGAAGGACTTCACGTGCTTCTGGGAGGAAGATGAGGAGAGAGCTGGCTCTGTGCATCAGTACTCCTTTACATACACCTACCAGTAAGTCACACTTATTATTAGATAAAATGAGTCTATGTGGTGATTTTTCCTTTTATCTCTTTTTCATATTACACAACCTACAATGAAAGTATTTCAGGGTGGTTTCAGGAGATACCCCTTATACTTTTTTAGGGTTTTTTTTTAACCGCTTCAGTTCCAGAGCCTATTATTAAAAAATAATCCAAATGCTTGATTTGTTTACAAAACAAAAACTAAAATACAATATTATTATCACAATGTTCCCATTTTCCTCTATCCTGAGCAGAAATGAAAACAGCAGCAGGTGCCCCCTCAGCGCCGTCCCTGCAGCAGGTGGGAAAATGCTGATTGTATGCCATCTGAACCGAATTCAGATGTTTGTCCAAATGGACATCCAAGTTCATCGGGAGGGAATACTGATACACAATCGCAGCCTCCTCATCGAACTCGTCTGTAAGTGATGTTTTTTTTTCTGCAAACGGTGCTCCTGCCAACAACTTCTGCAAAGCTTAGCACTAGATTAATGCTTTTTAAATACGTTTTTAAGTATTTGTGCCTTACATTCTGCACTAACATGGTTCAAAGTGATGGTTAAAGGGGCTATGCACCTGCTGAGTGCCTAAAAACAAAATTGTGTACTGTAGGTTGAAATAACTGCCATCATCTGCCCATTTCTACTAAGTATGCATGCAGCATTGCATCAAGGTACCTATAGATTGAGGGGAAGTGTTTCAAAGTGAGACTTTGCAGGGAACAGTCTTCCCTTAACTGCTATGCAACTCTATGTCTGTGTGCAGTTCTTCTGGATCCTCCTGCTAATGTAACAGTGAGCAGCACAGGTCAGCAAGGCCAGCTGAATGTCAGCTGGGTGCCACCTCCTCTGAAGTACATGGATGACAGCATGATGTATGAGGTCTTCTATTCTCTGGCTGACAGCCACATTGGGCAGGTAAAGCAGCCTCACCCATTTGAACATTAAACTCTGAGCAGCAGGTTTAATGATGGCCGCACATGGACTTTTTGGGGCTTTTTTGCAGGTTGAAGTGGCCCGGGCATGCTCAGAATATATCTTGAGAGGCCTGCAGTTCAGTAGAAAGTACAAGGTTCAAGTCCGTGTAAAACTGGATGGAGTTAGCTACAATGGCTACTGGAGTGCTTGGAGTGACCCAGTGTTCATGGAAACTCTTCCTACAGGTGGTTATTCACATCAAAATGCATAACAAAAATGTATTATGTACCCCAAAAGCACTGGCAACTCATGAAAGGGACTAAATGATGCCATGGGTTTTTTTTACCGTATTCAGTGATCTAACACACATTGATCATTCTGTTCCTCCCCTAGAATTTGATCCACTCATCATCTCCCTGACGCTCATCATCTCTTTCATCTTCATTGTCCTGTGTCTTGCTATGCTCCTGTCCCATCATAGGTCAGTCAGCCTGGCCCACACAAACAGATTGCTTACTGTCTGGTCTCAAAAAATGTCCTTCAAGAATTTTAAGTAGCAATAACAGAAAACACAAGTTGTGAAATATAGCTTAAGAGTCTGTTCCTTTTCTAGGTTCCTTATAAAGAAGATTTGGCCAGCTATTCCAACTCCTGACAGCAAATTTCAGGGTCTTTTTACCATTTATGGTGGGAACTTTCAGGTAAGAAAAATATTAAGAGTCTACAGCCATGCAGACTGAGCCTTAGCCTGGCACAATGACACTTTGAGCTTAATGTAACATGCTCACATCAACACCATCATATTCTTTTTGTTTTTCTATAGGAGTGGTTAGGGCAAACCAATGGAGGTTTGTGGTTGACGCCAGCTTTCATCTACTCAGAAGAATGCCCCTCTCCTCTGGAAGTACTCTCAGAACTGAGCCTATGCCCCTCACTGCCCTCTCCACCTCTGCCACCCAAGGCCTCTAGAGCTTTGAGTGCAGTCAGGAATGAGGGCAGGGAATTGAGGAATGGGGTTGAAGAGAGAGCACTGTTGGTAAAAGACAATTTAGATGGCGAGACAGATGGGGAAAGAGCCGCACCGCACCACCACTGGTTACTGGACCGCTTGCGGGCACTCCACCAGCACCAGGTTCCCTGCTCGCAGTCTTCTCTGCTGGAGTCTCAAGACACCTACGTCACCCTCAGTGCCAACAACAACAGTGACGATGAGCGCGTGGATAGCAACCTTGAGGAAGCCTTGCCCCTTGAGGCTCTTTTTCCCTCTGGAAATACAGCATTGTGTGAATCTCACTCTGACCTGGGATCAGCGCCTCAAAGCTCTGGATCAGGTTGCATTTCTTCCCAGTCCAGTTTTGAGTACCCAAACCATGCCTGGATGGCCAAGGGCCCCGGGTACACCTACATGGCAGTGGCAGACTCTGGGGTCTCAATGGACTATAGCCCCATGAGCAGAGTTGATGAAAATGGAAAAGTGCCCGTCTACACTAACGAGTACAAGAACATGATCCCTGCTCACAGGAAACCCTTCTTGGTGAGGCAGTACCCTGTCCATGGTGATGGCTGAGAGGAAGCTAAACTGTTTTAAAACAGACTCTGTAAGGGAATTTGGATATTCACCCAAGGCAACATGGCTTCCCATCAACTGTTACAAAAGTAACTGGGGAGGTGACTGACACCACAGTGTAAGCTAAAGAACTCTGTACAGGACACTGAGGGATTGAACTTCTTGAGTTTCTCCACCATGAAGAATTTTGTAAAGCTTCATGTTAAGGCATACATATTGACCATTAACAGGTTTCTTATTAGCATGCATACTGGTAGCAGACTGGTTCTTTATTAGCCACTATAAAGCACTTTCTGATGCTGCAGTCTGCACCATATTCTACAAATATAATTAATTTGCTATCTAATTACTGGTCATTGATGGTAAATAAGGAAGTAGTTATTCATAACCTATTGCCAATATGATAGCAGTTTTCCTTTTATAGCATTTAATGCTTGTGAAAGACTGCACAAAAGTAAGTGTTAATAGTGTTAAAAAACCTGTAGGTTCACAGAGGTGCAAAGGAGCAAGAAGTACAAACTTGGCACAGCTAACACCATTCTCCTTATTAATTGATAGTATACTTTTGTTTTCATATCATGTTTAAGGTATAGAATAAATGTACTGCTTTAACTAAATTTTATAATTTTCAGCTGATAGAGCTTTTATATTTCTCAGCATGTGGCACCGTTTAGCACCCTAATTCACACATCACAAAAGCTACACAGACAAAAATGAACTTGCTTAAAGCAGTTCATGCTGCTTGGTTAGAGCAGCATTCTCTATATAATGCTTTCCGTGCAGCATAACAGAATTTTAGGTGAACAAAGCAGTAGGAGTTATGTCTTCTTGTTAGAAGTAATGCGACTTTCACATTTTTTAACATTGTTGTCAAGTCAAACTTCAAGTTTCGGCAATCTTTGATAAATTGTATCATTACCGACATTAAACTGTGAAATAGCACCTACTCAATCATCCAATTACCAGAAGAAACTTTGTACAAACATCATCATTGTGCAAGAACAAGCTCGTCATCACAGCTGTTGCTACTTAATTTTTCATCATCACTGCTGTGAAAAAGAAAGTTGTGTTGTTTTTTTTCAAACTCAGATTACTCAGCATCAAGTGTATATTATTCCAAAACGACAAATAAACTTAGCTTGGCTAACATTTGCTCAAATCTATAACGCTCGCTGTCTTTTTAAAAATAATTATGGCAAATCTGGCAGCCATCTGCAGTTATGAAAAAGCATGCCCTCTTTCAGTTAATGGAACCTCCATTGTATTATTGTAGGGTCTTTACCTCACAATATAAAGGGCCATGAGGCAATCTTGTTGTGATTTGACGCTATAAAAATATAATTGAATTGATCTGAGTTCTCGAGCTTTAAGTGACAGGTGTACTCAGTCTTTCTATACTGCTCCTGCATTTTGGCTTTGCTTTTGATAAGTAATATATATTTTTAATATGTTATTTGTAGGTGTTCATTTGAGGTTTTTTAAATGTTAAGAACTTTTGGATATTTTGGATCATATCCAAGTGTGAAACTCACTGTACTTGTACATAATAATACAGTTTTTGTTTTCTGTTTTTATCACAATTGTTTGAGAGGATGATCAAATCTGTAAATTGCTGCCATTTCCAAGAAAACCTTGGATCTTGAAGTAAAAGAAATCTAGTAACCACTACTAATGCAGGGCGTGGAGACATTTTAAGCCAATATCCATTTTCATCAATCACTCCAAAAAATTGATTTCCATACTTTTGCACATCCTTGTTTGATTTTGTTGCTCAATAACATCTAGCAACTGAAATTGTAGTTACTCTAAAAGCACGATTCTCAACACTGTTGAATTATTTTAGTCCAGCAAAGTGTGAAATGGCAGGAAAACAAATTTTATAGCGCAAAAACTGACAACTCGCTAGCTTTCAGTTAGTTTGCGAAAGCTTTTCTATAATAAAGTTGTCTTTTCCCCTACAAACAGGATCTAGCTCTTTACTAGGGGGAACTCCCCAATGTGTATTTCTTTATGCTTAAATATACATAATAAGAGAAACTTTTTCATTTTGTAATTTATTTGAATGTGATATCAGCTACTGAAGTCTCGAGTTTCACAAATTATGATAAAAGAAAGACAAACAGAAAAGCATTACACTGTGTGTTTATTGGAATTTACAATGTGTTTTAGAGACTTTTTGCTCTGTGTCATTTTGTCTTGTTATTAAGGCACTCTCAGCCAAAAATGTTGGAAAACCACTGTTTAGTTTAAGACATTCACATTCCTTAAACGTCTTTGTAAAGACTGTTAATGTTTTTGATTAACCTTCATGTCATTTAAAATTCAAACTCATTAAATATTGTACTGTTACAGCTGTTATGGTCCTTTTACCTGATATCTGAAAGGAAGAGCTTTTTTCCCCCATTTTTTGATAATCCTGTGACACTGTAATGTAGCTGTGACTACCGTCTCTACACAAAATTTCTCTCAGACCAACTTAAACTCCATTAAACCATCAGGAAAAATGAAGAGCTTCCACTCTTGGGCTACACCTGGCCTGTCATTATAGTCTTCAGTAAAAGAAGGGTCTGTGATTCCTCTCCCAGAAAGGTAAATGTGCCACACTTCCTGTACAGCAGCTGCTGTAGCTTCATAGCCGCTGTCCTGGTCCAGAGTACAGCGTACCTGGAAATAGCGGTCAAGTACATCAAGGATAGGATCTGTTCCAGATGGATCCCCACCAGCGTTCACCTCCGACAAGAAAGAGGCAATAATGCGGCAGGGGGCTGAACTTGAACCCCGCTGTTCCAGGACTTGCGTGAGAAAGGCAGCAGTGTCACACAGCAGCGCAGCAATGTGCGCAGCGCAAGACCTCTCCCCAGGGTGAAATCCACTTTGGCTGCTGCCCCCAGGACCAGACAGGAAGCTCTCGAGTCTGTCGACTATGATGAGTGAAGGAGGTGTAGGGGACGTGTTGGTAGGCTCATGAAGGCTAGCCACCTGCTGGAGGAGTTCCTCCACTGTCCTGGGATAGGAAAACTTGATTTTCTTTGACAAAAAATATATAAATAAATAGATTATTAAAAACAACAACAACAATAATAATGATAAATACATAAACACACAAAAAATGAAAAGCTAAATAAATCATGGTAGATTATTGATTTAACCACCTAATTTTATCACACCTAAAATACTTTTTAAATCTGGGGCTACAATTACATTTTTGTTTTAATTGCTGGGTAACTTTTCAGGCAATAATTTTTTTGACATTTTAATAATTGATCAGCAAATTATTATGGCATTGTTGCCTGTTTTGTATTATAATCATAACCTGCTCCATTTCATCTACAAAGGCTTAAAACACAATTATAATACTAGTGTTTTTTGCTTTATCCAGCTCCACGTGACACGTGGTAATAAATGCTCAATTGTTCAATTACTTGTGATTACATGTGAGTTTCTAATTTTCTAACTGCAATCAAAGATATTGATATAACAGATATTAACAAGTCAGTGACCAGTTAAAATTATGCACCATATCCATGGTTGTAAAAGTGTATTAAATTATTATGTGCTTTGATTGAGCCGTACAGTAATTGTAACCATGGCAGTGGCTGGTGTCTTTCTGCTGTGTTGCAACCCTAAACCACTTTCAACCTAAACTAGACCTCAGTTATTTCTTATAATATTTATTTGTTTCCCTGACCCAAAAAAGGTTAACAGATAACAATAAAAACGGGAGTTAAAAAAAGAGGGGTATCACGTCTGCTCAAATGTCATTTTAAACACTTACAAATGTCTGTAACGTTTATATATTCATATCATAAAACGTAAATAGCATTCACGGATTGGATGATCTGCAACTAAATGACTAAATAATTAAATAAAATGCAAGCACCTATGTTGGAAGATGAAAAAACTTCCATGACAACAACCCTCAAAACACTAACACACAAGGCACCTGGGCTACTAAAATGTTGTTTATCACGAGTAGTGAAAAAAACAAGCTTTTGCGAATTTGGGCACAGTTTAAACATAAAACGACCCCTACCTTTAGACTTTCTGGGCTCAGGTTGGGAACACATCTCTGCAGAGACGGTGGAAGGCTCTGGATCTGAGTCTGGGTGAAGAACATCACTTTTATGCCCATCTCCGCGGCAGCTATGACGGAAGCCAAAAGCAGCACGGAGCGGCTGAGGCTGTGGTCTCCGACCACCAGGGTGCTGCAGGTCGTTGGTGACGGTGTAATAACTTTGACGTCCTTCTTTAAATCAGATTGTGACATAAACGTCCGAAAAACGAGCGACAAAATATCAGCCATGTGTCACAATCCCACAATCAACGCTTTACTAACCAAAAATGATGCTCTGGCTCAAGCTTCCCGCGTTTGTTTACATGGTGCACGATGGTGTTCGTGCTACTGTAGTCCGGATGCAACGCATTGTGTCCATTGTAACGTTCCGCTCGGTCCACACGGTTTATATTTCTATTAGCATTTCACCGATGTCTTCGCCTAGCTTAAAAGGAAAAACTAGATATTGCCAACGCAAAGTTTATGAATCTATAGCGCGAGGAAGACGAGCTCAAAATGCATTGATATCAGTGTTTCCTGCGAGTCCTTACACAACTTCCGGCATGTCGGATAATCAAAGCATCAGCTGTTATGGCCAAGATGGCGCATCAGCTGGCAGAAGTGGAGGCTCCCCTGGACACAAACCAAGCCGG